ATACAAAATGACTACTAATAAGCCTACCATTTTAAAAATATTGCCCGACACAAGACCAGCTGAAATAAGGAAAACGATTAATTGCCATTCATGTTTACGTTAGATCTCTCTGGGATAAGATAACGGGAGGAGATTTTTGGATTTCCTCACCCGAGCGAGTGGAGGTGCTTGAAAAAACTCACCCCACCCGAGGAACCGCCCATGCTCTGCTCCACCGTGCCGGAGAGGGCGCCCAGCATCTGGCCAGCTCCCATGGCAACCAGTCCAGCACGGGAACGAAGGATCGCTGTAACGTGGGACACACCAGAGTGGCCTCATGACTCCGGTCCTAAATTAATTTGCCTAATGGTCCAAGTCAATAAGCTGGGACATATTCATTAGTGAATCCTGGCTTTGATGAAGACCTGATGACAAAACTATGTTAGAATTTATTCCCGCCCAGGGCGGTACAAACCTGAAGAGAGACCCAACAAAACCAATGTAGGCTACAATGTACATATACGCTTTAGAGGGTCCATGGATTCTGTATTTGCAAATGGACAGCGAGGAGAGTAGTTAATTCACATGCCTGATTAGGTTAGCCATTGTGTCTAGTCAGAAAATGCAAACAGTCGGCGAAATGTAGGGGAGATGGTGTGGAAAAAAGAACATTAAACAACTTTTTCTCCATCGTTTTGTTGGTATGACATGGGGTGCATACTCATAAATCGAACGAGAAACCTTTGGCCAAGACATTCTCTAGTTGGAGGGCTTTAAATATGACTGATTGTAAGAGTAACAGTGACAGATAAACCATGACAGACTAACAGTGACAGATATACCGTGACAGACTAACAGTGACAGATTTTTGCAGTGACCCTGGGACGTTTGTCAGGATGGGTTTTTTCCACAGGACCTAAATAATTAGCCGTATTCTGAATTTTCCGGGGTAATTTTAAAAAAAGTCTCAACAGGACATGGGGTGGTTAGCTTGAGGCAGAATCTCAGAGAATCCTTGTCAGGTTAATATTGACAGTAAAATACGCGACCAAGTTTGACTCTCTATTTTTCATATTAAGAGGAAAATTCAAGGATTTCCTATTATTGTTTGTTTGTTGGGTTGCTTGTTTGTTTATTTGTTTCGGGTTTTTGAATGATAAATGTAACCATTTATCGTATACCAAAATGGACATTATTCGTGGAATGTAAACCTTTTAAACACTCTTCCGGTTTAACCACTTCATGGGACCTCCGGAAAGGTGCGGGGGCACTACTTGGAGTCTAACGGATGCGATATTTATGTTAACCAATCAGATTCACGACGAATTCAAGTGATTCAACAAAATAAAAAAAATAAAAACAGCTGCTTTTACAAAAACACACAGCCATCCCGACAACGGCCACCAGGTGAATGTTTGTCGTGTGACTGATTATAAAGACACTTCAAGATGGATATGAGCAGGTGCGGTTAACATTGCGGTGTACCGCCAAGGTGACAAAAATCATGCCGATGATGCGGCGGTCTTGTGAACAGGCGAAATCGCAGAAAGTGAGCAGCGTGGTTAAGACTGGTACACAGATAATTTGTGTCACCCCCGCCATTTTAATTGGTAGTTCAGCTAATCCGCATGTTCAGGTTCGTGCCCGGTGCAACCAACTAGGGGAACCGGGCATCACGTTCCGCCAAGGTTGACTCATTTGGGCGGCGTTCACTCCTATTCTCTACACACATCATCTCCCCCCCCCCAACTATAATTACTCTACGCATAACAGCACTAAAGAAAGGAGCAATTTATTTGCCAAGTCAGAGGCATGAATGCCGACAACACACATTAATCTACTGGTCGGCGTGGTACGGTGCGTTGTGTAGACAATACCTGGCAATATGAACAAGTCAAACGTTATTCGGTTGGTTTCATTTCTTTCATTTTCCTTCCTTGCCTGCCCTCATTTCCCCATCACATGTCATCTTGATTTTGTCTTTCAAATGGACAATTCTTTTCATTCTCAACCTAACTTCATTCAACATGACCCTCAGCATCATCTCAACAGACTCACTACTACTGCTGTTCATCAATATCATATCTCGATGTTACCTTCGTCACTTGATACTCCTGCTGCCAAATCTACTGTAATGTCACCTAAATCTACAACCCTAGCTTCACGTCCTTAGCTGTTATCAGCGTGTAACTGTCATATGCTTTCACTTCCTGGTCGTTTAATCGTCACTAAAAATCCATCGTCATTTCTGTTCCGGTCCCTTCCCTTCATCATTCCGAGAGATATTAAGCCCTGTATGGCTGCACAGATCACAATCTCTTAGACAAAAGCTCAACTCAACTTGTATACCTTCTGCCCCTCGCTTCAGGGTTGTACCGCAGTCACCATCTCCGCCCGACTTATCTAGATCGTTCAGTCTGTCCTCTGCCGCAATCAGTGTCTCGCAAATAGCAGAAATTACCGCCACCAGACGCTCCGGTGTTTCGCAAGGAGGAGCTATATAATAGGTTAAAACAACAGAGAGGCAAGCGCACTTTACCGTATTAAAAATTATTTTGCTATTCATTTTTTGAAAACGTTACGGTGTAAATGCTACAAACATCATATTTAAACACTTTCTATAGCAGACATCCCCACAAACAAAAGTTACTGACTTGATAATACACTGCCTGTGCTATAATATTTTATTTCCTGAAGTAAAGTGTTCCACAGACACATTTAATATTTAGGGTGAGCCCGCTCCTTTGACACTACCACGCTTAAGAAAATTTTCTTTAAAGTACAAGTAACTTCACCCAATTTGCCCTAAATTTAAGCAAGCATGCTCCAACCAGATGCACTTTCATTGTAAAAAGTACAAATGAAATACAACTTTGGGGAAATAGTTTTAATCAAAATGTTCTCGAACTCCTTCATGTACTGGATGGCTGTTATGGAAAATTTGGCCGTTGAGCAGCGAGACCTGCATGACCTGTGCTAAGCCATCGAGCAATATCTTCGTTTAAAGGAACAATGCAAATATTTTTTCTTGGAATCATTTTTATGCAAGTTTAAATTCTTCTTCAATGTCTGAAAACTGTTTACATTCTTTTTGGAGTTAAGCGAACTGTAAAATGCATTTGTTTAAACGTTCAAAATTGACCAAACTTTCCAGATAGGTGAGGGCGCTGTTACTGTGATGTAAATCCAGGGAGACACTGTTCAATTTGCATTTTCTCATGTTCGTATTTTGAACCCCAAATTTGCTCTTTCCAAACATTTCTGACGAAAGTTCGCTTGGTAGCTTATTACAATAATAAACTGACAAATGAAATGAAAATCTTTAATGGCGAAGTTTTAGAAACCTACCAAATCTGTACGTACAAATCAATGCATTTGAGGTTCATTGCCTCGGATTTCATCACAGTTTTGCTCCTGAATATGTCAGTTCACATTAGCATAACAACCAAAAACCCTAAAAATGGAGATAAAATAGTCAAACAAAAATTGAAATTAAGGTCAATTGGAACAGAGAGGTGTAATTTTAAGGAGTTTAAACATATCTTTTACATGGCGTCCCTTTCAGTTAGCAGCGTCAAATCATGAAGAATTACCACAGCCTAGGCCCAAAGTTTAAATACACCTGCAGCCAAAACTTTCTGCATGTGTTTAGTTGAAATGACAAGCAAACTTTAGACTAATATTAAGGTTTCAAAATAGTTTCAAAACAAGCTGTCGGAAAGTTTTGGGAAAAAAATCCAGGCTCAATTGACGCATACTAGATCAGAATTCAATAGTCTCTCTCAAGCGAGGAAGATAAGAGCAATTTATTGAGTGATCCGACGTTCGGTCCTGCATGCCGTGTCCAATCGAACCATGCTGCAATCGCAGCGCATAGCACGCCACCGCCAGGGGACACTGATGGGATAATACTCCATCATGAAAAAGGATGCCGCCCGCTGATTGATGAGATAAGCAGTCTGTCATAGCGCATATAAATCTCATTGCTCTTCATATTCGGTGGGCCATTATATTTGAAATTACGCCGCTGGAACGTCTTCTCGGTATCCGGGCAAAGAACTGATTCTTGTTTTTAAACAGATAGAGTTGCCATGGTCATAAAAACGAAGGGCACTTCAATGTAGCATCTTGAACAAATTTCTACATTCGCCGTAAACCCAGTTAACGAAGGACCAAACAACTGTCCTGTCAGCCTTTACGATTCTTCATACCATTACAGGATGAAATAATCTGTATTATGCATGACTGGCACGATGCCCTTGACGAACTATGTATTTACCTGTGCACCATCTCGGAAAAGAGAAGCGTTTTATTAAACAGGGAGCGACTTAAACAGCATGAGAGACATGCCTGCTACGTGTTTTTTATTACGTCTACGGGCTGCATACCGTGAAGCATGCAGCAGTAAGTGTATGTGCCTTGGCGAGAGATAAAGTATCTGGAAATTACTTCGAATCTGCTATTTAGACAGGTTAGGAATCCTGACGATCAATAGGTATTGCAAGTGATGAGAGGTAAACCCAACACCACAGTCACTGATAAACATGAACGTTCCGAATCGGAATCAGGGAATGCTGACGTCACCGCCGTCACGTTCTGAGTACCGGTAATTGTTTGAACCGTGTCAGCAGAAGCATTGTGTCTGGATCGACAAGGACCAACAGGAAAAAAAATACTCAATGATCTCAAATCTTCCGACTTTGTACAATTAAATCTAAGCGAGAATCTCCAATAACAGGTCTGTACCCCCTGAACATGATAAAAACCACCATGAAGGCAACACATCACCTCTCGTCCCATTATGGTGACACGGAAAAGAAAGGTTGGTGTTGGCTGAACAAAAAATTATAAGAAGAAAGAGAGAAAAAAAAGGAAGCTGAGTAAAGGAAAACATCTCGCGTCATGTCGTACGCGCCCATAGCCTGGCATGGTACTCCTGGGCGGGTTTTCAGCGCAGGTGATCATTTAGCCGCAATTTCCCTGCGAATCAGGAGAGACTGACAAGTGTCCGCGAGACAGACGACAGAAAATGATATAAACCAGCTGAAACGGCTAAAGATGACCGTGGAACAGAAATAATTAGGCCTATATTTAGCAATGCATCCTGACGGCAAGGTGTAGTGTCTTTCCACAGCGGCGAAACCACACCGGCTTTAAAATCATGAATTAGCAAGAAGTGTCTGTCACTGCACACGGGGTTTATAGTCGAGCAGTAACGACGCTGGGCCTGTTGCAAAACGGGGTGGAGTTAATCGTACTAGTTAAATCAGTTTAATATTACCTCTTCCTTTGAATAGTCCTGTCTCTTCTAAGAGCCTTAGGACTGTAGTCCGACATTCTGCTCACAGAAGTGCACAAAACGCACTGAAATATGGATTTGCAGACGCGGGAATCCAAATTTTCGTGGAATTCGGCAGAGGTAGGGAGGGGGAAGGAACACCATGTCCACCAATCGGAAAACAGTATGGAGTTTGACCCCAGGTCAAAAAGCAAGAAGCTGCACACAAGTATGTATAGCGTCGTGCATTTCCAAGGAACGGCCTACCTGATTTCGTACCGGACGCGAACTCTTCTTGGCTGCGGCTCTCTGCTGCGTCGTTCTCCTCCTTGAACTCAACGACACTTAATCCATGCGGCTGAGAGAGGGCGTCCTGATCTGTCAAGACATTGCTTCTCTGCCAGGCAAATGCATTTGTCTCCTTATCTAGGTCAAACAGAATATACGAACCACCATGTTCACATGCTACAATATGTGAAAGAACAGAGTGATAGATGCCAAATTTTCGTATCCGAGAAATGCTTAATTAACATATAGATCAAGAACTGTTAAAAAAACAAACAAACAAACAAACAAACAAATCCCAATACGTTGCATCTGTTTTATTGCCCGGGAGCGTTAATTTGATTGCATGAATAGCACCAAAATTTCCATGCACTGCGGCAGGTCAAAGATATGACTTGTTTTATGTATTGACGCACTAGCACCAACCTGCTCGTTCAACCTCACGCCCTCACGCCCAAACAAACAAAACTCAAGGCTTTTTTAATTACCAATGCACCACTTCCGCTCTTCATCAAGATGCATGATGGTCAACGAAAGACCCGCCATGTCCAATGACGTCATAAAATGACCTGCCATCACTCGCTCCACAACAACACCCTTAGATTCTGTTTACGAAACAAAAATCCAATTTCATGTCAACATTACAACCTTGCCAGATCAGTTCAGTCTTCCCTGCCCTCAGCTCTTAATTGTTTCAGAATTGTTCTGACTAGTAGCTTTCTTTTTGTGCCTTTTATATCGGTAAGCAGCCATAGTTAATGAAAACACAGTGTGTCAAGTCATTTAGTCTGGCGTACACTATTTAATGAATTTCATCAATCATTTAGTTCCGTTTCTTAACTTGGTTCTTGTTTGCGCTGACGTTCGACTGATTTCTCGGCATCAGAACACTTCAAGATTCGACTGCTAGGCTTATTCTTGAGATGCCTTTTGGACTGTATATAATTTATTTGCAAACAAGCTTAAGCTGAGCTATCTGTTTGGTCTCTGTCTAGTTATATTCTCGATTAACAACAGACTGGTAGCCTAAGAGTAGTTAATTTAATGACCTGGTCTTACACTGGTTCACCTGTGTGTTTAGATTACCTGGTGTGGCATTTCAATCATTTCTCCTCTGAAGATTTTGGTCAGGTCCACGATGGCGTTTAGTCTTGTAAACAACTGAATCTATCTTCTTTGTATCAAGTTATCAACCACAATGTTATGTATTCTTTTTTTAAACAAGCTGGAGTCACCAGACATGAATAAATGGTATGATTGTGGCTCTGGATTGTAATTTTTTTTTCAAAGGGAATCAAAAGTCATACATTTCAAATTTCAAGAAGCGTGAAGAATTAGTCTTCGGTTGAAACTGGTCATAAAGCGATTTCCCCATCGGAATGTTCATTTGTGCATCCCCAGAATGTTGTGATAAAAAAAAATATTGCATACCGCCCGTATCTTGAATATACTGTAGTTATTCAAGGAACGGCGCTTTGCTAAATATATTTTTGATTGATAAATGGCTAATTCAATTAAACTCAACAGCTGTTCGAGTCAGGATTGAATATTAATTGGAAACATGTTCAACGACACGAAATGTTAGCAGAGTGTCGACTGTTATACCAAGCAATCGGATGATCGAGTGCACCATTAGGAACAGTTCGAGGGTGGACGTCCCGCCCAGATTGTTTAACAACACCAGGACGTGATCCCCTAAGGGGAAAAAATAGATGAACACATAAATCTCAGTTAATGTAAAGCTATAACCGTTAGTTGATCAACCATAAGTGGACCTGCAGGGTTTTAAAGTTGCTTCAAAGCTTTGCACCGAAAGCCATTTTAGTTACAATGTTTGCGCAAAATATTCGGCATCACGTTTATCGCTTCGCGACTGCTGTTTCCTGGGGCGGTGCATCACTCGTGAAACTCAATTTTTGATTACACGCTTAATTAACTACTCTTCAACCATGCACGTGCCGAGTTATTTTTCCTAGTACTGATAACACATTCTTATGATGAGAAACCTCATTAAGTTGAATTACTTGGGCGCTGGCTTCCGCCAGATGTGGTTTGGTACCATGCCGCGGAACGACACAGTGAAATGAACATGCGAGGGCGCTTTGCTGTCATTGTCGTCCCTGCGGCCTTGAACAGAATATGGGACGGGTTGGCAGCCTTCATACAAATGGTATATTATGTGCAGGTGTTGTAAAGTCTTATCCGTGATTTACGTATGCATACATTCCGTGCCTGAAACGCTTACCTAAATAAATTCTACCCAATGAGGTTTCGAAGAAACGATGTCACGCAAGACCTATACCCAGCTTTGTGCCCCGTATGAACGGTATGCAGGCGAAGGTTATCCATTGGTTTCAACTGTGAGTAGGGCTACAATTTATCTACAATAGAATGGTGCTGTTTTAACTCTTCAAGGGTTTGGCGCTGATGTTCTTACCTGAGTGCACATCTATATGACTGCTGGTGGCTTTGTCCGTCATGTGATCAATCATGGCTGCCGTTATGATGTCCGCCCGGCAGACCTTTGAAAGTAACAAGAAATTGACATCCATCTACGAGGAATGTTGACGTCCATTACAGCAACACCTACCAAACGCCGACCGGACTACCATTGTTCACTTTATGATAGGCATATTTTAGAAATGTAAATTCCAAAAACAAAACAGGTGCACCTGTACTGCATCCAAGAAGGGAGCAATTTCTCATGCAGACTTGAGCGGGCGTGCCTCCTCATCCGTCTCGAGACAACACAGTTTTCCGGTCAAAAACACTGCACTGGAATAACCAACGAGCCAACTGTACATTTCCTAGCAGCACTGTAACAAAGTTACTTCTCGTACCGCTTTTGAAAATTTTGGCCCCACTTTTGTGAGAAGACGCGCATTCATGCTCGATTCTGAAGTGAGGGATTTGTGTACTCATACCTTCATTCGTTTCACGCCTGGTTCCCCGTGAACTCCAAGGCCCAACTCCATGTCCTCGTCCCCCAGCTGGAAAGTGGCACCCGACCCGGGCACGTGACAGGGTGAAAGACTAATACCAATGGTTCCTGCACAACGAAGTCATGAGCTCAGGTTACCATGAACGTGAAATCAAAGGTGCAGAGTTGATATCATTTTGTTTTGTTGGGGGTGGTCAGTGTGGCTGTTAGTATTGTTGTGAACATATGGTGGCTGTTTCACTTCGGTACATTACCCTACATAGCATGTTAATCGCCCTTTCTCTCAATTTTTAAAGCAACATAAAAATAACAGTAAAGAGGCGAATGTGACATAGAAATAAAAAACATGAAAAAAAGGGCGGTGAAAGATGTACAATTCTGCAAACCAACTAACAAATTCCATTTCGTTTAAATTATCACTTCAAGAATTAAATAAGTCTCTCCAACGCAGGGCCAATAAAGACTACCTTGACGTAGCTTACACAAGGTAACCAACAAACTAAGGAAGCGCTGAAACAAATTATTTTTAAATTATTGGTCTATTTTCATCGTTCCGACTTTGCATCAGTTTGCCGCCCCAATTCAGCTTTTATTAGCGTCCTCATTTTGCTCTACAATTCTCTAGTCGTTGCATTCTGCCACTCAGCACCTACGTGGCCGTGCCAGTGTTGTAATTCCATGATTACCCCCAATTTATTCAAATTGGGTTCAAACAGAAAAGTGAAAAAGTCGTGAAAGAACCCACAGTAAGCCTGAAAATAAACTGCCATACAACATTTAAAAAAAAATGAAGCAGGGTTTCAAGCCCGTGTTGTGGTGGTGCGAATGTTGGGAGTGATTTCATGACATAAAATGTTCCTCATCGAAATACTCTTCCGGATGTTATAATCAGATATCAAGATAAGTTATCTTTGCATCGTCTACCCATAGATTTGGCGGCCTTGCTTGTGGCTTCCACTATCTCCTGCAGCGTGCGACCCTCTTCTGCCATCGCTCCAGCTATCTAATGACAGATCAAACGAAATTCATTGAGTTTTGCACAGTAATTCCTAAAAACAGGGTATGCTAGCTTTTGGCTTTGTCATGTCAGAAGGGCAACTTGAATATGTTTAACTGAACATTGTGCGCTTGCTTTTAGTTGGCATGAGACAAAACACTCAGAGCCTTGTGGTATACCACAGAGGACGTATGGCTGTGTTGACACCCAAATGAAAAGAGATGTCTTCCAGGTTTCTTCTGATTGGCGCTTGCACCAAGTTCATGTCAGGGTATTTAACTGAAAAGTGGCTATTTTGTTGGGTTGTGATTTACCGAAAATATCAAGCAGAGTGTAGCAGACGCCATCACGTAAATGGCCAGCAGGGTTATCAGACAGAGGAGAGTTTGCCGACAGTCCCGACAAATTTCATTTAACTGTGTGTCATCGGGGACTGCTCGACTTTAGTTCAGGTACTTGTGTTTTCTGAGGCTTTGTAAATGTACTCCTAGTAGTCTTGCAGGAATGGGGACTGTGCACTGGGTTTCAGGGCAAAAAGGTCTGTGCAACCGACTCGTCCTCCAACCTTCTGTATCAGAATGATCCCGCACAATCCGCGTCTCCCAGCTGTCTTATCCACACTGGTGAGGGCGCTATCCTCAGCCACTGTGACCGTCTCGATGTTGATGCCCAGGGCTTTGGCCTTCTCAGCGGCAATGCCAAAGTTGATCCGGTCGCCCGTGTAGTTGGCCACGATGAGAAGAACTCCGGCTTATGTTCGTAAGCAGAGCCAATACTTGGTTAATAATTTATATTTATCACAATTTTCTCTCAACACAGAATGTGAAAAGTACAGAAATGCTTTATGGGCCGTGTATTATAAAGCAAGGGGCTTGCGAAGTCAGGGTAGTTAGGATCTACAATTTTACAATACTCCTATATCTAACACAACAGGACTGGACTCCTCTCAAGATCATTTCTCAGACTGACATGATATTATAATTTGTGCAATGTAGGGCCTATTTGGAAAAATAAAGGAACTGCCCTCAAAAAGGAACAAATACGGACCCAAAATGATTGTTAGGAAAAAAGCCAAGCACGCAAGCGGATGAACAAACAAACATAACTAATCGATGGACAAGCTGCATCATCAGCGTGCAATTATAATAACGGACAAAATTATAAAAACAAATCAAATATATTATTGACGGATTAAGAATCTGGGGGAAAAAATCACGTGAACGATTAACAGACTGTCACCATTTTCCTCTGGGCAAATTACGATCTCAATTAACAAGAAACGGGAGTTAACAGGTTGAGGGCGGTATTCACCTGAGGTGGCAACAGCTCGTACGGCGGCGAGGATGTCACTGGCAGGAGGCGATGCAAAGACCGAGCCAGCTATAGCACCAGTCAACATGCCGCATCCAACATATCCTATGGGGGAAAAAGACCCGGAAATGAATAGCCACACTGACTTGGGCACAACTTCAACTATGGAAACAGTTCCTACCAGATTGGGGGCCTAGAATGATAGAATATGACACCCAAATCATAGGAAACAACTTTAAATTTGAACGAATGTTTTATTCCGTTTGCTTATTTCGTTTAAACTAAGGTACACCTTGACTCAACACCAGAACAATCTTATATAGGACCTTAGAACGAATGAGCGAGATTTGTTCATTTTTTTCTCATTAAAATAAAGCTAAGAAAATCTAGGTTAATTAAACGGAGCGTAATTTTTTTTATTGTTACATGAAATTCGAACGAAATGGCTATTTATAATAACATTTTATAATTATGAATGATCAATTACCGGTCATTCTGTTCTAAAATTGAACTTAGTTGCCCACTAAATTTTCACAAAATTAAAAGGTGAATCCATGTTATCGACTGTACGGACAAGCTTATTTACTTCTCTGCATCAGTGAAACGCATTGTCAGTCTACAGCTTTTACCTGACGCAAACGGCTCGTGCCCTGATCCGCCACCGCACAGCACGGCAACTTTCCCAGCAGTTTTATACTTTGCGATGTCCGCTCGCAGTATGACCCTGTGACCTACAGGAAACGGTCAAATCATTTGTGATCAGGACTAGTTCTTTTGGAGGGGATGCATTTGATTAGCCTCCACACCACGGCGACAACTTTGACCTGGGATGACCCTGTGTGCTGCGTCAGATAGACTGTAGGGAAGAGGTTGAATCTGAGCTGGCACATGGTAAGCTACTTGAAGGTATGTTTAGATTTTCTGGTTACGCCCCCTCCCTCCTCCCCCCCCCCCAAAAAAAAGGGCCTTAAAATTTCAACTGTTGGAGAGGCGGCTTAAATGAGGGCGCTGCACACACAAACGCACGTCCACCACGCCACGGAATTTACCACTAACTTGTCGCATGGGGGCGTGTGGCACGTGTTGCTGGTACAAAATCAGAAAAGCACACAAGCTTATTCAACAAACGCTAAATGTTAATTAAGACCGAGAGCCCAACCCTTCACGGTTCGTTGGCAGCCCTTGAGCTGTGACTTCATGAAATGGAATACAGCTATTCTGAGTTTGCTTTCAGAAAGAAGCGAGGCGAGGGAAGCATAATTATGAACTGTTGGTTTGAATGTGAAAAAATTGCCATCTACCTTTGAGCAATGCGACGGCTGGATTGACGGCTACCACCCCTTGCAACATTTCATCGACGCATGTCCCCACTGTGTTGATGAACTGCTTGTGCCGACACGCCATTGCGTGGAAAGCGACGGGAGTTTCAGATTGTGAGTCCTTCGTCGACGTCGTTACTACTTCTGCCGCTTTGGTTTTGTGGGAATAAATGCCATGCACAATGCCTACAACCCGGACAGCCAGTTTTATTCTCTTGACGCGAAACGCCTAATGTAGAATGATGTACCGCATGTGCTTGCAGTAGGCTGTGTTGAATCCTTAGCTAGCTAAATGTACATTGTGTTGTTCGCGGTATAATCTGCGTTTAAGTCACGTCGGTGGGCGTGTCATACAATGATAGACTCAATTCAAGCCGTTTTCGTCGAAAATTCCAATGCGATCCGACCGATCTTTAGTGTATACAGAAAGCTGCCGATATCGATCTCTCGAAGACCACGAGATCTCAGTGGTGAGGACGGACCTGAAAATAAGGGGAAAACCTATCGACCCAGGCTATGGGTCAAATCCCACCATAAAATATATACTTGCTGTATTGTTGTGGGGATAGACATTAGTCATTACACCAATTTTGTGTCGACTGAAAACGTGGAGACAGCAGAAGGTCCTCACAACTCGGTCCCTATTTGCCTAAACTGTCTCCTCATACGTTAACCGTAAATACAGGCGGTTCAAAATAGTGCGCCCCCAAAAGCTTCCAACGCACCTAACACAACACGCAAAATCTGTCAACCCTTTCTAAACGCGTACTGGGTCGACAGATTTCGTGCATTGTGATTGGCCAACGCGTTGCAAACTCTTGGAGGCGCACTCTATTGTGAAACACCCGTATTCCATACAAGTGCGCATCACACTCTACATTTTCTTGGGGATAAGTTCTACATTTTACTTTTTTTGTGCTGGGCTGCTTTTTTTCGACAACAGAAATTACCAACATACCTTCCAAACTTTTTGGTGGGTATTTTTGAAGGGCTAATTTTTGAATCTTTTCTTATGCCCTTGACAAGGAGTGCCTTGTATGACCAGTGGCGTAGCCGTGGGGTGGGGGGCACGCCCCCCCCCCATTCCTGGTTCCCCCAGGTGGCCCCCTCCCACTAAAAAAAAACACGAATGAATAGATATTGAACAAGGCTAACAAAAACAAAAACGCCACTGAAAACTGTTGGCCCCCATAAGATGCTGGTGGCCCCTTTGTGCCCTAATCCCACTAGTAACTGTGTACGACAAGGAAAATAGCGCCCTCTACAAAGTATTAATGAAAGGATTTTCTTGTAACGGAAAAACTACTACCTTCTTGTCGCTTCCAGTGGGAAGAAGTACTTCGTTTTGTATGATACTACATAGTATTGTATAAAACAAGTTCAACCCAATGCTCATTGCATTTTTCCTTTGAGCGCCAACTCAGCAGGTAACTTAATCCCTTCTTTACATGAATACAGAGTAACAGTTCAGACCCGAATTGAGTCTCAGCATGATTAGAAGGTATATGCCAAAGTTTCATGGCAACCGGACAGTGCGCTGGTTACATGTACGCAGATTTTGATCATTATTGAGATCGAAGGTCATAATGTAGGCTTCGTCGTACGCACAGCAAAATAACCAAAGCCATTTCATAATCCAGATAACGGTTTGTTTGATCAGGAATTGGCGAAGCGCAAACAAACACTATCGATGTGATGAAAAGTGCCATTGTTTTATCGGACATACATGCTTTACATTTGTGCGACCGTATTATTTGTCGCTGTGAATGTCAAGATTGAAGTTTGCAATTGTTAATGATTATAGGATTTAGCTTGTAATAGACAGACAGCATCGATGTAAATATCTAACCATTCGCTGCATGATTGCTACAAAGTAGGTGCGAGCACAAACAATCTGTCACGGCGTTACGAAATTTCATTCCACTTGGAATCCTGTAAGTAAAAGCTTCAATAGGGAAAACTATGCATTTTTAAAGGCACTATTTCCTACGAATCGCAATCATTTATAGCCTTCACAGCTAACCCGACAGCGAGCTCATGGTTTTAAGTATATATGCACACTCGCCCGTTTTAGACCTTTAAACGTCTCAGAATAATAACTCCAGTGAGCATTGTGTACCTGAATGAAAAGAACCGGCCACTTTTCACTCGTCGTCATATAACATCGACCCGAGCTATAGACGTGTGTAAAATGGATTCTGTTTCTTTTGGGCGTGAAGGGTACAATCCACTAATTCAAGTCCCATTGAAAACAGTGTAAAATTAGCACCGTTCAGGGCCCGATAACATGCATACCAACACCCCGGAGATTTCTAAAACACAAATGAAATTATTGTCTCGTCCCTTGTTTTTCAATTTCTTTTCAACTTTTGTGGGTTTGCATTTGTAATTATTCCCACAAAATAAAATCACCCCGAAAAGTGATTTTTCCAAAGTCTGCTTGCAGCCATTTTTCAAGTGACAACCCTCTACTTTTTCGGTCATTTAGGAGCATCTTCAACCGTAGTTTTTAGCCATTCTACTCTCACATGAAAGCTGAAAGACCCAAGGAGTCGATCCTGACAACAATTTACACAATCTCACCATTTTGGGGGCCAAACAATCTCCCTTTTCATAAGATACTGCGGGAGCACTTTTAATATTAATGAGCTGACCAGAAATTCTCACTTGAATTAATTAATAGACCGCAGCCTGCAGGTGTTTCTGCTACCAGTTATACATGTATCCACCTACATCAACTCTAAAGATTATTGTTTTGGGTAGCAAAAAGCACGATTGACTTTTGACATGTTACTTAAATAAACTTAAAAGTGGTCTGTTTAGGCCCTTGCTTGCTGGCAAGTTCTCTGCTGAGGCCTAAACATGGAAAAGAGTCAACGTATAATGTACAGTGTTAAACAATGGCCTACAGCCAATTCATACTAAAGGTCTCAATATCAAACAGATTAATTTAATCAATGAATAAAATGGTTAAACTTCAATCAGGCAACTTCCAACTGCTGCTCCATTAATATTACAATCAGCGAAATCTAAATCATTCAGGAAATTGCACATTTTTTATGTAGTCTATAACACTGCAATGTCTACAGATGAAACTTCGAACTTTTATTCTCTGATGTTAATTAGAATACGATTTTTGGAAAGCTGACGAAAGTTAACGTGTAATGTATTCTAGGATTTTTCCGCATTCGGGGTCTCGGCGTACGGTGGGGGCGGTGGCATCGGTGTGATGGTTGTGAATCCAGGCGTTCCTCCGGAAGCAGTGGTGGTCGTCAACACGTACCCGGGTGGCGGCTGGAACTGCTGGATCGGGAGGCTGTAGCCGGGGCTGGCGCCGGCTGTCTCTACCGTTGCCGCCTGGTTGGAGGCAGCGAAGGACACGGGCGGTTCGGGGGAGCTGGCGGTGCGTCGCTGCTTCTTCTTGGTGACGGAAGAGATGCAGCAGACGATGCAGCCGATGACCACACAGAATGCGAGGAGGCTACCGATGACGATGAACGTGACGGCTAGCGGCGACAGCCAAACGTACGAAGTATCTGCATGATTGCAAACAAACCCGAAATGACATTTGTCATTTTCTATACATATTGAAATCCCGAGGTTACTCATTGTGTCAGTGTGGATCAACGATTTAGGGATGTTAACCATTAGATCTGGGGAAAACTCACAAACAATATTGCTAAAATGATAATCACATTTATCAACAGTATCTATTATTTGAACTGATATGAATCTCTAATGACAAGAAAAATACCATATTTGCCATATGAGGTAAAGAACGCGAAATGGGGCACAGGTCAAACACTGTGATTACAAAAACAAACAAAAATGTACATAAAACTGACTAACTTGGTACTTACCAGCGTACTCGCAGATGACCCCGGCATCCTCATTATGACCACAGTTATGGACATGCCAACCCGGTGTCAGGCAGCTGGCCAGTGTGCTCTCCGTCCCGTAGCACGTTACCGACTCCAGCAAGACCGGCCCGCTGCCCATACCATACAGTCTGTCACCGTCGTCTACGGCTGCCTGCAGTGCATGGACGCGCACAGGAAAACACTGTTAAGTTCCGGGTAGCAATGATGTCCTTTTTATGTACTAGGCAAGACATGCATGCAGTAACGGACGGTTCCGGAAAAGTGCATTTCATTTCTCCTCTTTTCCCCCCTAATCTGTCCTATAACTGCTCAGTGGCCCTGTAAAATATACATCTTACTGACGTGAGCTGCTTGAGGGGTAACGCACGCAGGGCTAACCAACTACATGTACAAGAGCCATCTCTGCCCTCACAGGTACAATTTCTACTCCTTGGTGGAAAGAGACAAGTAGGGCAAATGACTTGCCTATTGTCACAGAAAGTACCCAACTTTTGGATTCGACCCTGGGCCCTATGAGTGGGCGTTACAAACCACTAGACTACGCACCTCAGCCCGTGTATGCAAGATAGATGCAGATTTGGGTGCAAATTGGAAACAAAGATGTGGACAATGATGTCCTAATTCTCTTAGCATGACCGGATAAAGCGGGCAAATTTTGTTAAAAAGGGAATGGACAAATTATAGTTTCAAATCTAATCTAAAGCTAAGAATACAAAAACTGCTGAAAACGTATATGCAAAGCGCTTAAGTACACGTTTCTATCTCCGTTTCTCCAAATGTTCGTGTCATTTCTCCCTTCGCCTAAAGACATCCACGGTTTTGTGCACACCGTTTAGTTATCACAGTATATTAAGCAATGATTATTTCAAGCCCAGTGTTGGCTTTTCACATGCATGTGGCTGAAATAAATTCGAGAGATTTGCGCATAGTTCATATAGATGTCTTACGATTTTACACTTGGTGGGACGGACATGAGTCGTTGGACTGTCCCTGCGTACACTAACGTGACTGCATGTCTCAAGGAGGAAATTCGATTCTGAAATGCTTGGATGCTGCCAATAGTTGAACAGGCATAGAGAAGTTGGACTGTGATGTTTCAATGTTGGACTGTGATGTTTCAATGTTGGACTGTGATGTTTCAATGTAACATGGATATGGTCTAGCTCCACTCAAGGCCAGACCAGACTAGAACAGACAGCAAGTCACGTCTTGTTGTGGGTGTGGTCTGTAGGGTGGAAAGAATGTAAGTTGTGGGGGTTGTGTTGGGGGTCCTCACTATCTGGAGGGAGCTATTCACAGATTGGTTGGAGCAAACAGCAAGACAGAGCTCAAATTATATCTGTCTCCTCCCGATTCTTTGCGACGGCGGCTAGCCAGAGGATGGAAGAAAGCAAAATATGAGGTTTTACGCTGAGCACAAACCATTCACTTGAGGAGACCTGAAACTTGAAGAAGCTCCGTGGTATAAGCACGTTAACCTTTGTCAAAGGTAAGCCACTTTTAATAACCACTCAGTAAGCATTATCTCCACGATCTCCCTTGAAGCACCTCAAAATTCATCTCCTTATGGGTGTTAACATCATGACGCAGTTTCGCGGTGCAAGTGTAAAGGCTGGTTCCTGAGCTACACGATTGCTAAACCGGCGCAAATTTAATGTCATAAAACTTTCGCAGGGAAAAAAATCGTTGAAGTTAAGAGTATGCCCGACTGCTCGCAATGCTCATTTAAAAGTATTTGTTATGGCTTCAAATGAGAATTCACCGAGGCGTCATTCGCGTCTATAGGATCATTCACCTTGGCATTGCCATAGCCGAGCTGACGGCAAACGACTTGAGCATCGTAGATATCCCAGTAATCATTGCAGATGGTTCCCCACATTGGCTGAGTACCAGCGTGGATGTGGTACACCTCTACCCGCCCTTCGAAGCGAGAAGGACCGCCCATCAGTCGAACGGAGAACTCTGTTGACAAAGGAAGTCAAATGGAATGATGTCTGAGGTGGACATCTAGTCTCCTTAAAACATCAGGTTCAGTGTCGGGATCTCCTGTTTGTTTTGTGCAGTTATAGAGATGACGAGCGGTCATGTTTCTAGGACCAACTCACCCCCGATACTGCTGCATATCACGGCGGCCGTGTCTCGGTCAGAACAGGGCTGAGAGACCCATGATCCTCGGCTACAGTCGTCTAGCCGATATTCATTTCCTACAATGAATAAAAGGCAACACTCAAAAGGATAGAAAAGAGCTGATCGTGCGAGGAAAACACGTTCAAAGACTTCTGTCGCCCGCAGACTCTCACACAAGTAAAATAATGTACGTTCAAATCCTAAATCCTACAGAGCCACTCCTATGTGCGAGCTGCTCTAATCAGTCAGTTTTGCTTCGACCAGCGACATCCCTTTGAATATCACTCCATCTGTTGAAACTGAACGTGTCCCATATTCTCACCGCAGCATTGATGAGGATAAACAAGCAGACAGTCTATGCATAAGCCCACAGCAACACCAACCAGTCAATTTTGTTTCTATAACGGACAATCCAACTTACAAATGAATGTGAAGCGTATTATGAAATACAATATTAAACTACAAGAATTTAAACTTTAAAAAAAAATTTTATTCGAAAAACGCGCCTTACACGCCTGATCACTAATGCAACAGCATATGGGAAAATTACTTTAGGTCTAAGTTGTTCATGATAACACAATAAAAATGAAATCAAATGCAACATTTAAAAGCAGGAGTGGTCCCAACATTCCAACGTCTTCGAGCATAAAATGCATTGCTAGCGTTTCATACATACTTATATTGCAGAAACAATATCGGAGAAAGTTCATTCAAAATTGTGGAAATCCAGCACAGTGCAAAAATCTTTACAGTTTGCCGATGAAAACAAGTCTCTGAAAGAGTCAACCCCAAAGAGAAGATAGATTCAATGTGCTGGAAGATAACTGCGGTTTAAGAATCAATGACTAGTGTCGATAGGACGGGGAAATCTAACAGACACCCATCATGTTGCAAGTGACGATCATTCCTAAGAGCCAGTCTGAAAGATAAAAAGGGCTCTTTTAAAGCTCACGTTGGGGTTCAGAAAGATTTGAACAAAAGAGGTTTTTTCAGTAGATCTGACTTTTGTTTGATGTTGGCGCTTATAGGTCCAGACAAAACTTAAGGCGGATTTGGAGGAGGCCATGACCCCCCAAAAAGGGTTCCTTCCCAAAGCGTGTCAAAAGCCCCAAAATGTAGCCCCTTCCTTCAGAAAGGTCATAAAAGGTTACAAGACAGTAATTCAAAATCCCCTTCCCCCAATAAAAAAAAAAGTTTGGCCAAACCTAAAATTTGGTTCTTGGTCCGCCCTTGCACAAAAAAGGTCATTAACTCTTTATTCCCATACATTTATCAGTACCTTGACACGACACTGCTTCCAAATGCGTATCATATATCCTTGATTCAAATCGCTGACCCGTCGAGGCCAGTGTGGCTAGCGGGTAGCCGAGCTGACGACAGACAACGGTTGCATCGTTAATGTCTGAAATCAGAAACAATCATTGATTTCCCGAGGAAAGGGACTCCTTAACTCGAAAATAAGACAAACTTTCTGAATTTTTTCCCGCCATTAAACGACTTTGGCGTTTGAGGAAGTACTTGCCCTCTGAAGATACAATCACAATAAAATATAAAAAGGAAAGACCACAAAGTGACAAGAACAGACGTGGCAAACCTATGAATTAATCTGAACCTTATAAGAACAAAAATACAGAAGTAAATCGGAGAAAATAAATGGAAAAATGTGGGACACCTGCGTGGCGTGTGTGACATTATAAGAACGATTAGAAATCAAGCGTTTCGTGTACAAAACAGTTTCGACTTCATACGGCTTATGATGAAAAACATAACTGCCACTTATACCCACGGCAGCGAGCACGACAAATAGGCAAGTAAATACGAGACTGTGGTGCAGAAACACTTGCTTTAACGACCATTTACAGAACTAATTGCTGATATTGTACGAAACAAGACAGGGCTTCTGTAAATTAACTTGTGCAAACTACTCATCCAGTTTCAAGCAGGGTATGGTTCCTCATACAAACGCGTGCGTTAAAGTTGAAATAACTCACCAGTAACATGCTACATGGATCTTATTGATTCGTTGCACACTATCAAACGCAGCATCACTTACCCCAATAAGGATTACAAATTGGGCCTCGTTTGCCTTCTTGAGTCACCTCTACGATGCCCTCATTGGGGCCTGAGCCTGCCATTAAACGGACACTAAAGCCCGTGTTCACACCTGAAATTAAATGGAACAAAAGGGCCAATTCCCAGTTTGTTCACAAGTGTGTTATTTGTGAACTTCATTACGGCATGAAATGTGAGATTAGGCATTACACACTGGCTGACAAATCTAGTTTTTTGCCTACTTTTCTTTTCTATTATCTTTTAATTCAGACCGTTCTGGCATCTTCACTACCGCGTATACATCCGAAAAGTGCACACCTAGGCCCTCACGGTTGCTGCTACCATTAGCCATGCAACATTACCGTGCACGGAGTGGTACAGCCGTGTACAACGGCGCAGTACACGCGATGCATTACGTAAAACATCAAACAAGTGTATCCGAAGAGGAGCAAAGGCCACGCGCCCAAAGCAACAGGGCAGGTTAATGGGAAGGAAAAGGATATTTCCTTCCTCCATGTATAACTGAGTATGAATATCTTGTACTTTCGCTGAGGACTTATGTTGAATTCCCTGTAAAAGACTGAATTGGATGCGAGTTTAGGGATAGAATCATACTTGGTTTGGATGGTACATACTAGTGAAATACTGTAGCCAATATCCCGCCATTAAATAACTAAGCCTAGTACCCTGTTGTCATGGTCTCTCATTTCAAGATTCTGATTTAAAACATATCCTTAGGTTAAGGTTGTAACGAGTAAACTTCAGCGATTCAGAAGGAGCATCGTACTTCCGCCCTCTCTTGGCAAGTAAAAACGGTACAGTTCGTAACTTAAGACCTAATCAGTGTTGACGAAAGAAAGAAACAGAATTATGGCGATTACCTTGGGTCACGTTGCTTTGAGCGGTCACGCCATAAAGAAGGACGACAGCCGTCACTCCGAACAACCATTGGACCATATTTCAATCGGAATCTCTGTATTAAACTGCAGGATTCTCAGCAACAATCGAAATTGTCAGCTAGACTTAAAGTGGAGATGTTGCAGATTGACAGAAAGATGTTGTGGATGACGAGTGAGTATGTATATTCTCCCGTACTGTCTTCTATCGTTGAGGCTGACTTGCCTCGCCCAAAACAACGACTCGTGTGAATGACCAACCTCATGTTACGTAATAGTTTGGACAATAATTAACTTGTCGGTCAACAAAGGGCGCCCTTTCTGCTTGATTAAATCTATTGATATCACCAAACAATGTCATTACAAAAACCAACCTTTTTTATAGGTTACTGCCAAGTCAGGTCAGTATTTGGCAACTATAGGCGAGGCTTATCCGAATTTGAAGACCTTGAGTCCGCCGTATAACATAACCTGACTATGAAAGCGTAATATAAGTACCGTTTACGCAATGTTGGATTTAAGAATGGAGCACGCGCACGGCAGATAATGCATGTTTAAATTTGGCTCTGAAATCCTATTCAATGATAGTTAATATTTCAATCTTCAACGGCGTATTCACCCCGAGCTGAAGTACACCCTCAATCGGCGAAAAGGGAGACTGGTGATTACAAGCGGGTTCTTGCACGCGTTCTGCGTGTACGCAAAGACCATACATGCCGGAGTAAGGTTGCGTTCGATTAGTTTCCCTGAATACCCCAGTGTTACACGCAAGGGAAGCTTCGAAATGAGGCTGATCGAACGCTGCAGTGTATTCGCCAAAGCATTCTGGGAAACAGGTCGAGTCCCCGCCACTTCCATCATGCGCGCCCATACACGAATAGTCCATCCGTGACATCATTACACTCGGGCAGCCTCCAGAGACCCACTCGCTAGCTGGGGTAGTGGTGGTTGACACCAGGGAAGGCACGAAGGTCACGTGATGGCTAAACGAACGCTCTCGTGTAAGTTTGACTTACACGTGTAAGCTAATCGAATGCACCCTTTGTGTTGGTGGCTGTTTGATAGGAATCTCAGAAATTCTTTACAAACACCGAGGGGAATGTGTTAGGAAACAATAGTCTAGATTGTGTATAGGGACTGGACATGTAAGGGGGTACCCCTCCGTCCAATATCTTGCTGGGTATACACACATTTTTTTCCAATGACATAATTTCTCAGAAATGTTGATATCGTAACTTTTTTTAAATATTATTTTGTAACATACATGTCATCTTCACACATGCACGCATTGCGCATGTACTATACTATGACAGCAATACATTCTGGAAAAAGGAGGCAAATTTCAGTTACAACAAACACGTTTTCTTACACAACCCCCCCCCCCAAATCTAGTCAACGTCCATGACACAGCTATCAATGTAACTGGGGTCATTCACCACAGAGGCATAAAAAAAGCATGATGAACAACACGTCAATTGCATGTCAAGTTTACGCGGATTTAGCTGTGCAGGAAGAAAGACAACATGTTCTGTAGAATGCGGCATGACCCCAGGCAGCAAGTCATCCGTGCCATGAGTCGGGTTCAATTGAAGACAGGAGCGTGCCGCAGGGGTATTTTTACGAATTCCATAAGATTTGGCTCTACGACAACTGTCAGCCGCGTGGATGATAACGTGGAATTATCAAAATCCTTCATTTGACAAACTCATTCGCCGAAAGACAAAAGACTTACACAGAAATGGCAATGCATTGATCACACTGTAAACTGAACGCATCTTCCGTTTGAAACGAGTTGTTATTTACAAGCGGCTGTCATTCATTTTTCTACAAATTAATCCTCAACAATAGAGCACTGGCGCCGTGTAGGCGCATCTTACAGGATATAGGGTCCAAGTTACCATAGCAACTCTCCTGGTTTCCCGTTTTGAACTCGAATGCAAGAAAAAGTGACGACTCCGGTTATTAATTAAAGGGAAAAACGTTTGGCAAGTATCCTTAACGGCCCCTTCGGTTTGCGGCAATGGCTGTTATTTTACTCCTTCATGTTACAGGGACGTCCACATCCTGCCTCCAAACATCTCATATTTAATTCTCTTTATTACGGACAAAGATGCGTGAACCCTGAGCGCACAAATGGTGTTTTCCCACCCGGGGAAAAAAACCACGCCATCTCCTGTTTATTTTATGCACGCACTGGGTTACGTTGCCCTTACCTTGACGTGTGCATTCACAGTGTATTCTCAGTGCAGTCTGAGAGTTATGAAAAATCACAAACTTGACTGGGCCATGTAACCCAGTATAACTAGTAAAGATGTTCGACGCAACGCCAAAGTAATATCACTGAATAGTCGGGTTGTCTGTACTATTGTTCGCAGAAAGTGAGTTCGAGTCCTATCTGCAACTCTCCGACCACACTTAGAATACATTATGAATAAACACATCGGTGTACAGGAAAACATAAAAACATCTCCCATGCAGTGCCTCGTAAATATCACTGGCGTCATCTCTCAATGTACCAACATCTACAAGGCGGATACTCCAACACGTCCCTATCAGACCCATTGAATATGTCACACAAATACATCCCATAACCAGATCAGAATAATTGGATTATTTGAAAGGAAATGTTAAGCAGCGTGAGAAATTATGCAGGCATTGATCAACAGAAATAGTCCTTTGAGGACGTCAAAATACATTTGAAACTAATAATAAACCCTAATCCTGCTCTCTAAATGTAGAGGAGTGGAACACGTCTTTCTCTCAGAAAGAGTGAGTTCCTTATAAAAGCCACTTTAAAAAGATTAAAAACAATTACAAAATAAGAATAAAATTGCCACTCCTCAAACGAGCCATATAGGGGACGATTACCAAAAGATTTGTTCCTTATAAAGTAGCCATTGAACTCAACTGGAGTGGTTCTGACTCTTTTAAGGGTGGTTTTTACTCCCCTGGGGTCGATTTATTCTTGACCTTTCTCCTTTGGCTTTACAGCTATGTCACTATCTATGTATGCATACTGTATCAAATATTTCTGTATAATTGATTTATTTAGAGGATTGTCTTAACCGGCACGCTTTTTGCTCTATATGAAACTTAAACCACTGGCTGTGGTAAGAGGGTGGTAAATGTATCGAAAGTCAGGGTAATTCGCAGCATAAAATCCATATTATCCAAACAAAATTAAAAATAATGGTTTTATGACTTTACAAAAGCAACATTATTGTGCTGTGGATGGAGTTATAAAATATTCTCGACAAATGCCTGAAAAGAATTTGGAAGGACAATCCTTATACGTCTTTCACCCCTTAGTGTGTTCACCCTTAGAAATCGTGTTTAGAAATAAAACACAACGTAGCATGCTACCACTTCGTTTAAATGTTAAACAGCTGACGTTCAATTTACTCCTTAACATCACTGACCAATGACTAAATACCGTTCGTCAAGTGCTGTGATTTGCTGGACTAAACATTTTTTAAGAAGCTAAAACTAAACAGGCTTCATTTCTTATTTTTCTTTATTTTAATTCCAACCAACAAGGCTACTTTGTTTCTACATGAAAAATCTTTTTCAACTACTACTTATGATTTCGTAAAACATGCTCATCAAGTACCACTTCAGAAAATGCTTATGTCATAAGTTTCGCTGTGAGTGGTGCAGTGATAAATTGACGGCTATTGTTTCAGTTTCTGGGTAATCCCTTCATGAAATATGAATAGAGAGAAAGATATTCTCTACTTGTTTTTGTGTTTTACCATCATATAACCATTATGCAATAAACAATTTTTATTTCTTTAATGGCTAAAACTTTACACACGCGGCACGAGAAGACACTCAGTGAAATTTGTGCTTTTTTGACAAGGCATTGCTAATAATCTGGGTCGTCAAAGTTGTATAATTGACGGTTGAGTAGTGAAATCAAGACCGAGCAATTTACGTAGGCCCAACCTAAACCTCTTATATTTAATTCCATAAATGACCGGATTAATGCACGAATTTAAAGCGACTAGGCTGACGGAAACAACATATGTCACACTTGTGAAGTCGAGGGGCCATCCCAAGTTGAACAGAAAGAAGATGATTTGATTTGGAGACCAGCAAACGAAAAAAGAGATGAATACGATAAGAAGTGTTTTGAAGGTGTTCCTGCTAGCGCGCAAGAGGGATCCTCCTTGGGTTTCGACACGGGGCGGTAGAGGCGCTCTTCCTGACTGATTAGGTCCCGCCGACGTGGATGTGAGCGGAGCTGGTACTCCCACGCGTCGAGCACTTCTCAACAGTACGTAAATGGTGGCGATATAGGCGAACAGCATCAAGAGCGCAGGAACAAAGAACTTGATACAAATAAATACCGCGCCGATGAAACGAGATCGCGGGGAGGACTCGAAGAAGCACTTTCCGTCGATGAAACCCTGCACGACGGCTATGTATGCACCTTGCAATGAAATCCCCAGAACCCAAGAGCCGATGGTCAAAATGATGACCAGACGACGATTGAAGAACTGGGTATGCCTCAGTGGGAACACGATGGCGAGGAAACGTTCCATGGTCACGGACAGCAGGTTAAAGGTAGAGGCATTGAACGCCCCCCACAGGAAGAGGTTGCCGATCCACACGCGGCAGAGCAGCCAGTCGGCCAGTGTGCTGGACAGGCGGTTCGGCACTGGTATGTTGCTGGCGAGCAGGAGCACGACTGAGCCCAGCAGATCCACCGAGGCCTGGTTGAAGATCAGGGCATTGGTCAGAGTGTGCATGAAGGGAATCTTGTAGATAACGGCGCAGACAAGACCATTACCAACGATACCAAACAGCCCAACGGTGGTCTTGATAACGCGGAGGACCAAATTACTTTCCATGGTGCGCAGAACAGGCCCAAACGCAGAACAGCGAAGACTTAGATCAGCAGAAGTCAAAGCCGTTGTGCCAGGCAGATAGTGATGACTTTGCTGTTTCTGCACTGCTGCATGCGATGATTTCAGACACGTGGTGTAGGTTTGCATAAGTTGTGTTCAAGGTCGAAAAAATTCTCACTCGTCAGAATGCACATCTTTATACCTATCAGCAGGCGGGAGCATAGCTACACGTCAAATGTGGTTGAGACAAGACTCGTGTAGCTTCCCCGGTATTTCAACTTCTCCAGTAACATCAACTGAGTTTGGAAAGTAGCCTAATCGTTACATGCTAGAGTCGGCCGCTGTTTTGTTTAAGTATCAGGATCCAGTCAAGCCAACGGAAGGCATATATTTGTGCCTCCCGTTTTTTTTTTCCTGTCGTTATTTTTTGGTGACTCAAGTCGAGTCATTGAAACGTAATGAGTCGAGTCAAATTTCCGAGTGGAGTCGAACTCGAGTTATTGACTCAGTTCATTACAAATCTGCCGTAAAGGCACAACAAAAATGTTCAGCACAGACGTCACTGAATGCAACGAAAATAAACGATGGCCACTGCCCTCAAGCGAAGAGGAAATGGATAGTAAAAATATTCGTGCACCCAGATGCCTAAAACAGACCATTTCACCATTAAATTACTTTTCAAGCAATATTCGCAGCTAACATATTCATTATGAAGTTTGGTGGGGACCTACTCCCTGCTTGAAAATGTATTTTGGTACTAATTGCATTGCGTTTGCCCAGCTATTTGACAGCTCAGTACTGTACAGTACATTGCTTGCTTGCCACTGAGGTGCACTGCGATAACCACAGACACAAATAACCTACACACCAACTTCATTCCCATGGGTACGATCTTGCCGCGCCATGTTTGTTCCCACCATGCCATGTGCAACCTACCGCGGGCAGCCACTGATGGGTTCAACCCTAAAAATGAATTCCCACAGACACCGATGACAAATCCTTATATTTCAAAATTATTGTTTAAAATACAACTTCCAAAGGTGTCCAGATTGGACAGAAAAATGATATTTTGACGTATCCTCTTTCATTTTCCTTTCAATTTTAGAGAGTCGACCAATGAATTTTTGAGCAATTCTCACCCAAAGCAGACCACCCCTAAAATGAAGGAATTTTACTGCCCGGAAGTAAATAGTGCCACTTTAAGACTCAGTTGCATGCAAATTGCTCAGAATTGGAAGCCCTGAGTCCGGGCGAAAATTCACTGCCCTATTTCTTCAATATTCCAATCCCATGGCCATCGGGACATTCTAATACAGAATATTTTTATTAATGAGCTCGACAGACATATTTTTGGCCTATTTACGGGGGTACAACCTGATCAGTACTAGTGCACGTAGTCCATTGTCTGTAGACCGACAGCCCCAATGGAAATCAGCGTCTGGATAACGTAATGAAACCATGATGGGCGGAAGTAGTGTGCACAAGTCTATGGAGAAATCTTGGGACAAGTGATACAGGTCAGCCATTTTGGATGATAACGCCCTGATGGCAACTGAAAACCCTGTCCAGCATTTACTATGTGCTCCACAGCAGTTTTGTATTGCAGTTATGTAACTATAAGAGCTACAGGCTACTCAAGTTTGCTTTCGCGAAAAAAATTGATTGAATAGCTTTGTGCACGTTGAGGAGCATTTGCCTATCACGTTTGATTAAAAAAAACATAGCGTTACGACTCGATGTAAACTGTACCGGCTCTACGTCACAAGCAGCGACTGAGTACACTTGAAGTTCTCCAAGTAGGTGAAGAATTACCTTAAATTTAGACAATTTACATATTTTAATGATCAATATGCCATTTTGCAGTGTTACCCCGACAGCTTTACGTTGAATAAGAGGACAAAAGTTGCTGTATGCTTGGTCTATGCTGATCATGTTGATTGTCGTAGTATCAGACCATTCAGGGTGCTCAAAAATATTGAGTAAAATTGCTGCAATTACTCATCAGCTACCATCTTTAATGCATCGTATTTTCAGTTTAGTTTTACTTAGTTCTGGCGCCCGCTTTTGTCGGTCTGTAGGCTATTAATGTATGTGGAGATAATGCACAATCACAAAAATTCAACAGCGCCCCCACATCAGTTGCAGCTTCCTCGTTGGCCGCAAAGTGAGACACTTCGCAGCTAATAAAAGGCAACAATGCTGCACCGACGTTGTGTAGGAAAAGGTGCCGGTGTTAAAGAGGTCTGTAGAAACAGGAGACAGAAAATACTCTAAATAATGTATTTCCTCGAATAGACAGTGGTTCCCTCAGATCCCCACTCAGTGCTAGTGGACGCAGGTAACACCGGTCCCAACTTTGCAAGACTGAACCTGCACGCGGTACTGTGCGTGTTAACGAATAGCTTGTTGGTCATCTCGTAAGCAATGTCACCTTCATTAAAAAAAAAATTATACTAGTCTTTGCCTCGTTTTCTTAACGATTTCGTGTATTCGAAGGAGTAAATATTCGGATGAGAAAAGGAACCAAGCTGAGCGTAATCTTCCTGATTACTATTGCAATAACACTTTACAAACTGAGCTATCGTTACAAATATTTTTAATGAAAGAATGAGAACACAAAAAGGGCTAGCGAACACTGTCACGAAAAGGGATATTTAAAAAAGCAGTAGCAACTAAAACATTATACAAATCCTAACAAATGAAAAAAGAAGTATTTTTCTAAGTCCTTGTGGAGGATAAATGACAGAATTTTGTTTAAATGGGTTTGACATTGTCGTTCCGATGAGTACACCAAATCTGGGCCACACTATACTGAGAGGTGGGCCGCGCAGTAGCAGGAGCGGGCCCAGAGTAGACGGAGGTGGGCCACCAAGTCAAAGGAACAGGCCGAGATAGACAGAAGTGGGCCACCATGTAAAACGAAGAAATCGCAGACAGTAAGCGGAGGTAGACCAACTTGTAGAAGGAGAAGCGGGCCGACAGCAGACGGAAGTGGGCCACCATGTAGAACGAAGAAATCGCAGACAGTAAGCGGAGGTAGGCCAACCTGTAAGGGGAAGCTGGCCGACAGCAGACGGAAGTGGGCCTTGACAAGGACGTGCTACATCCGATATGCCGTGCATATAAAACAACAGTATTGAAACTGCGTAAACTCTTCGTTCGCAGTGTAACGTTTGGGTGCTACCCATTGAGCTATCCGATCACATGACTCACCCCCCCCAGCAGAAAGGAGGAAAAAGTCAATAAATTGTCCAGTACTGAAAGGGTGGGTAAGAAACGATCTCACGATAGAGATATCATGAAAAGCGTTGCTTGACACCAAATCATTCCACTGTTTGCCGACTTGGAAAGCCAACATTCTCAAGATCATTGACAACGGCCCCACGCCTTTTGCGGGAATTCAGTTGTTGCCTTGCTCAATAGTAGACATGTTGGGGGATCGTGAGCAACGTTATTCCAAAACCTTGGTTGAATGGATATTGAGTACCAATACGTTTCAACACAGTGCTCCAGAAACATATCACCGTGGAATGCTATCGACTAGCAACCGTATACCGTATATATTTTTCTAACTGAACACTGACATATCTCAGAACATCTAGTTCTGTTCTCTGTCTGGCAACAGCTCCTAATAAATCAGACAGGTCAACTTATTATGCGGAAAAACATCAACTTCGTTGTTGAGAAGTCTGAGCTGTGAAGATCACAGCGTGACGGATTTCTTCCCTCGCACTTACCCGGGATGCCGTTTTAGGCTTGAGCAAGCATGCGCAATACGTGATAACAAAGTATTAATGAACAATCCAGAGTGAATTAAGGTACACAACTGGATCAAAGGGTCATGCAGAAATTAAATTTGCAGCTCAGTTTCAAAATGTCAAACACAACGTAAATCCACACACAAAACAATCTTGCCTTATTTCATATAACTTACCATACCTGGGCCAATTTACCCTGAAATCGTTGATTTTCCTGCATTTTTGTATTATGCTTTATGGACGATCAAGGAGATCATTTCTGTCAGACCACATGTGCCTATCAACGTCGCAGCGAATGTCTTCTCTTGCTAGGCACCTGGGGAAGAAGTGTCTCGCATGGCGGATCCAGGACTAACACACCTCTTTGTCGACGTCTTCGCATGCTTCTTCCATATAGCTTGAACAAGAGTGACTCTCTCTCATACGGATTACGATCGCTACTCTGCTGCTGTTTCGCTCATGAGGCACTCTGGTGACTTGTTTCGTTTGAATTCGCCCTCTCTTCAGGATTTGATCGATTATACTCAAATTAACGCTTGGGATATTTGCAAATACGTCATTGTCCTCAACCACCCTTGTCTAGATTTCTCTCAGACGGATCATGTTGTGTTCTAGAACTATGTTCATCATCCTCTGTCGTTCGGTGAAGAGGCATCTTCTGCCGCTATAATGTGGTCGTCTCTCGGATATGTAAACATACCAACGAAGGAAAACAGAAAATATGTGAAAACAGAATGCAAACAACAAGATTTCAGCCTTATCTGAGTATTTTTCGCGGTGAGCCAATTTCACAATACAATTTACAATGTAGGCCTACAACGTGTATACACTAATTCTATGTATTTAGTGTCTCTCCTGCTTGCCGATTGTCATTCTGAAATACCCGTATGACTGACGCTACAGCAGACTTGGGAACATTGGGTTACAATTGTTCACTTGCTACCCTCAGTGTTAGCCCATGATTGATGAGAGTCGTTAATATCTCGTTGGACAGAGTCGGTGCCCGTCGTCTTCCTGTAGCTCTCCGTTGATGACCTCTACCTTGGACTCCCGCGACTCCGTGTCGTTCTTGTTCCATTTCACACAGCAATCCTTGAGACGCTCACTTGCGGTCCTTAAAGTAGCTAATGTTACTTGCGATGAATGAATGATTTCATTAGGTCCTTTGCATGAGTGCGAATGTTACGCGAGTGATTTCCGTAGACCGATACTGGTTTTTTTTTCAATTTGAACACAATATGCCTTTAGTTGAGAGAAGAACGCATTCATTTGAAAACCGTGTGATAATTACATTGCCAACGTTTAACGAGATGCAACAATTTGCTAGCGTTCCAGTACTATAAGATTTGTGCGAATACAACAGCAGAATACTTGAAGTTCCACACAATGCATGCTAAGTTGGGAATGGTGCGATTTCAATTCCGATTATAATTGTAAATTTAGTTGCATTGGCAGTGTTAAAGCGATCGAGAACAACTGTAAACTGGAGATCAATTGGCCAGGCTTAAAGCGCGAAAAGTTACGTGAGTGTCAAATCAAACGCTGTCGCAGTTACTTGAATAAGCGGGGGAGGGACGCAATCAAACACGCCCAGTAATGAACTTTACGCAAGACAGGTGATTGATCGCCTCAATGTAAAAGAGAGCACAATTCTAAATTAAATTTGTTCGAGCAAAACTTCATTTTGAGACGGGTACAAAAAGATGGGCAAACAGGTCAACAAGACGACAAATCGATCATGCTTATATGATTGCTGAAGATATTAGTTTGAGTAGCCATGGCATTATGCTAACAGAGGCTCGTGAATGCAGTCGCACAGCGAAGGTAATTTACTATACTTTTTGTACTGAAATGGCGAACTCTATGCAAGGAAACATTAACCCGAACACAGAACAGCTGCGCCGCCTGAGAAAGGTGTCGCTGCATATTAAACTAATGTGTGAATATTAATGACGAGGCTTGTAGAGTTAGCATGCCAAGAAACTAGAAGGCGTGGTTTCCGTTTCCAAAGGGAAAGGTGACGTCTAGTATAAAAGGGCCCCACGAGACAGATATCCCAGACTCCGGCGAAAGTTGGCCGTTCTGCAATCGTCCCAGTGCAGTTTTATTTCTGAGGTTACTACATCGTCCTTGCCGAAAAGAAATGGAGATGAGTTGCGACACTGTTTGGAACTACACGCTGGAGCCGTCCCTTGCACTGGAAGATATCTACAGCACATTTGACACGGTGGCCATCACTATTCTGATGCCACTTCTCCTGTTTTTCGGAATCCTCGGCAATCTGGCCTTTCTTCTGATGTTGTACCGCGTGCCTAGGATGCGCTCCCTGACCAACTTTTATCTGGCCAACCTCGCTGCGTCGGACATTGCCTTTCTGCTCTTTGCCATTAGTAAGAGGATTCACGACTACCGCATCGGCTCGGTCAATTTCTCTCCGGCTCACAACGGGGTACTGAGCTGCTTCATCCAGTATTTAGTCGTCGATCTGTCCTACTTCGCGTCGCTGTTCGTGATCAGCCTGGTCTCTGTCGAGAAGTTCTATGCCATCTGCAGACCGATGCGGCACCGGGTGATCAGCCGCTGGGACCGAACCATCAAACTGACGGTGTGTTCCTGGATTGTTTCGTTAGGCTTTGCCACCACTGTAATCCCAAGCTACTGCTCTATCGGGTACGTCTGTATCATCTGGCCAGGAGGAGGCGAATACGACCACCTGCCCGGTCGCTTTGCGTACTGCGCCCCAGCGGCAGACTGGGCTGTACCCTATGCCAACGCCTTGCAAACTGCGCCCTTTTTCATCGCCCTCGTCTTGAACACTACCGCGTATACACTGATAGTCAAGCAACTCACGCAACGCGTCAATCGGCCTCACGGTCCGCAGGCAGTTGTGCCGTTCCCCGATCAAGCCATCAAACTCCGCGACCAAGTGGCTAAGATGCTGGTCGTTAAAGGGACGGCGTTTTTTCTCCTTCTTGCTCCGTTCGAGATAGTCTCGATTTTGCTGTCGGTAAACGCTCTGAGCTACAGCCAGCGAATGGTGGCCCTTCAGATTTGCCGACTGTTTTCCTATCTCAATTCAGCCATCAATCCGTTAATCTTTGGTATGGTGAGCTCTAAATACAGACACGCCTACAGAGAGGCTTTCCTACCGGCTCGCGGTAACCGAGTAGGGCTGGAGCCCACCCCAGCACACTCACAGGACAACAGATCAGCCACCCATCAGATACCAGCGTCGCAATCATCCAGCTAAATAGGTAGTTTGTGAAGAAAAACCCTCTTACAATCAGACTTCCCCCCCCCCATTCAATGCAAAGTCCTTCCCAAGTTAACACAGAAGCACTTTGTCTTCAGTCTCCGAGTACGATTCACCAATCTGGCCCATCACATTGTTCCAAGTTCACTTTTCAGCCGTATCACAGTCTACTTCGCCTTTCCTCCGGGTGACCTGACTAGACTGGTCCCGGCTTTTTCACTGATTACAGATGTTCGCCTCTAGCAAATGTAGTCACCCTAACAGAAGCCAATCGATCTACTGCGAGTGAAAACTATTTACATGACGAACTCGATGTTTGTGGAGTATCTCGTTGCGAAGGGAAGAAGACAAAAGGACGATCACGATACAATGTACTTGTAACATCGGTATTTTGAAACAAATTATATTGCGAAGGGAGGAAGACAAAAGGACGATCACGATACATTGTATTTTGTAACATCTGTATTTTGAAACAAATTATATTCGAAGTGTACAAATTATTTGCTGGAACGTGTACAAAGTGCTACCTTATCTAAAATGACCCGATTTTTAACTTTCAAAATGTAAATAATGTAATTACATAGAGCGTAATTTTGAAAAGGGGCCGTATTTAATGTATATAAAGTGTTATCGAACATGACTGACACGTGTAAGAATGTTAGGCCTACCTTATAATTGAAATGAAAAAAAAAGAGTAAAAAAGAGTCACATTTCAAAATGTAAATACAGTGTAGTGTGTTCACGTCCGGAGTGTAATTTCAAGAGGAAGCGTATTCAAATTGTACAAAAGTGAATAAGGTTACCTTGTACTTTAAACGAAAAGGCTGGTGAATTTCAATATGTAAATGGTGTTACCATAGAGCGTGTAAATAAAATGCCAACAAACCCATGTTCGCGTCGATATTATGATTGGTCCATGCTCGGCTCGTGCACATTATTTGGGGTTACAGGAGAAATTCGTGTGAACATCTTAGGGGTTTGGAACAATTTGCAAACGCAAGTAAATACGTCTAGTAAATAGAGTTTTAATGTCAACAAACTGTACAAAATTACATCATATAGAATTTCGCGATCTACTTCCCAATATTCTTGATTAAATACCGAGGTGCCTTTACGGCTTTGTAAATCATTTTTGACTTTATTGGCCCTTTCAAATTCGTTAAAACCGAGAGCTTTGTATCCGCATTCAAACATCAAAAAGTGTCATGTGATTTCCATTTCCGAGTCGTCAGTCGTGAAATAAGTTGATTCACAATCAAACCATCCGTCCGTTCATTCAAATTAAATTTAATCAACCAGCCAACATTTCAACATGCTTTTGTTCAAATCGTATCTTTGCCATAGCATCCTTCCTCATTCGAATGTGTATGAATACAGTGGATTTTACAAGAAGAAACAGAAAAAGCTTATGCAAAATTACATGACTCGGACGAAACAAGAAACTTAATTCTTCTCATATTAAAACGATTTTAGTCCTCTGTCATCTTTGGCATGAATGCTTCAATATTCCGCGCACCGACACATTCACATCAAAATGGATTTTCCAGAAAAACAGGGGAATGTGTATCAATTGAAGGGGAAACACACACACCCATATCCTCCCATATTTGTTTTTGAGTCAAAACGATACATTGCTTTTACACATTTCTACCCTTGTTATCTTTTCATTAATTAACAGTACATCCCCACCCCCCCCTTAGGCCTACATACCTACTGTGGACATTCCTGTGTTTTTTGTGCAGATAAGAAAACTTAGTGAAAATACTCATTTTTCTTGAACTAAGAACACGATTTGGAGGTTTTTTGTTTGTTGTGTTTTTTGGGTACAAGGTTTCCTTGACTATTTCTCTTCCTTATACGACGGACGGCCCCTACCCCAAAATGCCTCTAAACGTCTTTTTCAGAGAAGGGGAAATGTCCTGTGGACGTGTGTTCTTCTAAGTCCACAGAACGTCTTCCTTTCATGCATTGTGTGGACATCTTTGGTTCACAAGTCCACACTAGGTATGTACAGTTAGCGCATCCCGACAGCAACCGAACACCGAATAGTAACTGTGCACAAATCGCATGTAGGAAAACATCCTGCATTGATTTTAATCGAATTTAACTAGAAACAGCCTCAAACAAATGGTAATATCAGGAGAGAAAGGAAGTGTTCCAACCGAGAGAGTGGTTATGGAGTAGGTAAATCATGAGCTCTCACCCCCTGGATTCAAGAGCATTAGGCCTTTTCACACTAGACTAATCTCGGGGTTGACGCAGGGTTGAAGCAGGGTTGAAAACCTTTTGACAGCTAAAGGAAGATGCACAAGTCGTATTGCATCTTGATTGCAGTTACGTTGATCTGATGAATTTTCACACGAAGTCGAAAATGTCACTAGAAATCGAACTCATGAGAATGGAGATTGAAATGCCTATAGGGAATACAGACTGACTAACAAGCAGGAAGACCAAAGCGATAATTGTGAAATAAGAACCTGAGTATGAACGAATTCCAGAAGCGTGCAGGAATCTGAATGCGTGTGGATGAAAATGAAAGCTTTCTTTGTTGGAATTGGCGCAAAACCTATCGATCCATTTGCTTGTTTACAAAATAGAGTTTTCGTTTTCGTCTGGGATTTACAAAATTAGATTTTGGTAAGTAAGACAATTGCCGATTCGGGAATATTTTAGTACTCATATATTCCATGATTTCATCAACTATTTCCATCATTCGAGATTTGCATTAATGATTCTGCTTTACCGGTCCCACTTACCTTTGTTCAGGTGTAATCTTATTTCACCAAATTTCTCCCGAATTCTCAAGGCTGTCAAAAAAATCCCACTTCCTGCATCGCCCTTGGATACGCTTCTTCGGTCTGGACAATAAAATAAAATAAATTTGGAAGGAAGACTGCATAAAGGTTCTTTGTCATTTTGTGTAAAGGTTTAGAAAGACGGTTAATGTCTCTCGGGAAATATTTGAAGAGGGGGGTAACATTTAAATCTACCGGTACCTTTTCTTAACAATAGTTAAGAAAATAGGTTATAGTTAAATTGTGTTAACACACACGCACACAAATCACCTCACATATCAATATTCTGTCCTAAAAGGATGAACTGTTCTGGCCATTGAGACTGAAAATAGCTTTTATCAATTTTGATTTTGAGGCAGCGACGTTTCGAATGCAATTTGTTTTCATGGAGCGAAGGCTAAAAGTTCAGACACTTGTGTGGCTGCCGACGCTTATGATACATGGTCATGCAAGGGAAGCTGGCTGCGCGTGGGAAATCCGCGCAAAAAGTCCGATTCCATTGGCACTGTCGCATTAAATTGTTGACTTATCTTGATTGAACGCGTATATATCAACCACATGCAACAATTTACTATCATTTATACCTTGTGGTTCTTATACCTCAGGTCAAACAGCGCCTGCTTGATCACAATCTTTCGGCGCAAGGGCACCCGGTGCTCTCAAAAAGGATACTGATAGCGAATTGTATTTTCTTGTTACTTGTTTCAATATCAATGTTTTAAGTGTTAAAAACAAAAAGAAAAACTGAAAATATCTGGTGAAATTTAACAAGGGGATGACTTTGCAGCACTTGATTGATTTCGTTCTTGTTAACTCCCCATCGGTATAGGCCTAACTGACCCAGTACATGACGGACACAGAGTATGGTGGCCGAGCAGGCGCTCACGAAGCCAGTTGCATTCAATCTTGCCACTGCTTACTGCTGCTCGCGCGTCTTTGCTGGTTACGGCAGTGCAGACACGCCAGCCACACAGCGCGAATTCCGAGGACCTGCGAAATGCCTCATTGCCTTCGTTCCAAGAGACAAACCATTCGCCTGTCCAGTCAAGCGCATCTGTGGTATACAGTCGCTGCCTGATCCCGCAGATACCAGTGCTTGGGGCCGCGTGATCCAGTCTTCCATGTGTTGTTTAATGACAGTGAGGAAAGTTCCGCTCTGGCAGATCTCTGTCTCACGACTGTTGGTTATTGACACTTGGGCGATCATATGCACTTTATGCAAGGGTTGCATATGGGGGGGGGGCAATTTTTTCCTAATAACGACGGTCCAATTTGTCATCAGTGACAGAATCCTCACCGCCACGGTGAGGGCGGTAGAACTATGTATTTTCAAAAGAGTTGGCGCTGTCAGTGCTTTTTAAAAATGGTTGCATGTTGGAGAGGAGATTCCGACATGCTGAGAAGTAACTTTCTTTTACTGAAACGTGGCACAAACTCAATTTTCAGTGCAATCACAATCATTCATAATTTGTATATTTAGTTATTTTAGTCAGTTCACTGGCACCAAGTAATGACTCCAACTGTACAATTGAATGATGCACGTCTTTCTATATGTGTGTGTCTGACTACGTTGAATCGACACACAAGCGATGAAGTGATAAACAATGAAAAGTGCAAGGGTGTCCATTGATTTTCTCTTTTTGTTTGTTTTCGTGCAATTCGTTGATTTTCATCGCCTTTAATTTAGTTGATTACATTTCTTTTGAATTTCTTTTTCTTATCGTTCATTTTCCCCTTGCTTATTTTTCTTTTTTTTTCAGGGGCTCCTAGCGACACCAATGATGAAAGGGGTTCTTCGTCAAACTAGTTCAATCTTGATTCATTGCGATTTTCAGTCTTAAATGTCCAACCCCTAGATTAAAACTTTCAGATTTAGGGATTTGAGATATCAAGTCTGAATACCGTACTTCTCGGAATACCAAAGTAATCTGGGTCACTTTCTTTTTGACTATACATTAGTAAAAAAAAACAAACTACCAAAAATACTTTCCCGGAAGTTTTTTTTTTGAGCGAAATGCAAGTACCAGCTGGGGGTGAAGGATCACATGAAACACTGACCAGCAAGAACCTGTTGACTTAAAACAGCATACTATGCGCATGACTGGTAACTACTTTGAGTGGACACACTCAGGTCAATACCACCCTTATAGTGCATCGACAGAACCGAGCTCTTCGGATGCTGGTCTAGTACAATTGAGTATCCATAAAATGCATAGAAAAAAATTGTTTTAACCTGGAAGCATTCGACAGTCAGCCAGAGTCTAGAACCTTTTCATATGTTAACCATTGACATCATTGAATCGTTGTTCCTCGTATACTTTCAGCTGAGTCCCCACTGCACTGAGGCTTTAGATATTGGAAACAATTTCTGTTTCCATAGCGACGAATATCCACCTGCATAGTGATTATTGATTTTGCCTGTCATCCATACAGGAAAAAATGAAACAAGGGCGAGGGGTCTCAAATGCACTGACCACTTAGTTGAATGTACAGTCTTGACCAGTTTCCAATAATTGATGGACACCAAATGGACTTGAAAGAAGCAGGGATCATTGCGTGCCAATGCCCAGCTACCAAAGAATTTCCGATTGCTGTTTGGCCTGTCCGAGCTATAAAACGGCCTGTCATGCTCCTCACCAAAACAAGTGGGAGTAATAACTCACGCTTCAGTAAACAATGAACATCCAAGATCAATCACTCAGGTCATAAAGGGATTCCGTACTAACGTACTTTTAAACAGGTCTGAGTTTCTTGAAATTCAGCAATTGAATTATCAAAATATTTTTAAATATTAGGCAGTTTATTTTACAACATCGCTCTTTCCTCGGAACGCGGCTTCAACAACTCCGAGGTATTATCAGTGCCTGTTCCCTCACTTGTCAATAGTGTATGGAAATCTTACGGTAATCTGAGCACGACAAGCCCCAAACAGCGGTGGCAGCTTAAAAGCTTGTGCGCTCGAGATCTGACGACTGCAATACCAAATCATGCAGCGCGATGAGCTGTTCTAAAGTCTTTCTTCACTTGGTACCTGTGCATAGATTCTCTCAAATCAATTTATCACTAATGCATGTAGATGCGAAGTCACTTTAGATCAAACTTTGAATTGTATTTTCATTATGCTGGTTACAGACCAGATTAGGTGTCACTTTGTTCAAAAGTAGCTGTTTTCTCACATCTTCCTTCCTTGATACTGATAGGCCTATTGAATGAAATGAATAACTCCATTAAGCTCTGTTTCACGTGCTTAAGCAGGAAACGCGATTATGCAACTTTATGCAGGGCCTGGGCCATACTAAAATCGTTCAAAACCGGTTACGGACATCTGGGCTGACGTTTCTTTTCCCACAGGTGGCACTAAAATCATATAAACTGCGGCTTGTAAATCATATGAGTTTACTGCAAGAGCTAATGGAGAGCATTCGGGAAGGCAAGAAAACAAGTGGAGGGGGGTCTGTGCCACTCCGTATTACTGCATGAATGGTTTACACGACGAGATCTTTTATGCGCGTATGAATCTCGATGCATGACAACCTCTTTGATCATTTGATAATCATCCATGGGTCATATCAATCAATGTCTAAAGCAGACACCCTCAGCCTTTGAGGGACAACTGGTTACATGAGAAAACTGCGTGTGATGACATATTAACACTCCACAGCAGTCTTCAGTTGTCGATCTTGGCCACGGATGACAGTGTTTAGGCACTCTGAGTTGTTTCAAATGAAGAGGCAGCCACTATAAATTTTGCAAGGTCTTACGCACATTGTGTCAGCCCTATGACAAGTAAAAACATTAGGTTGTCGGTATTGTACATGTAGAGGGACTCTGTACTGTAGTACAGTGACTGTCATTTCATTACAAGGCAACCATGTTGTGGTTGTCTAAGCTTATTGGCAGATCTGATTATTCCGAGTACGAAAGATGCTCTTAAAAATAGTTGTGATAATAGTTTTGCCCAAAGACTGATTTTACTGTTTCGGCCCGTGCACCGTGCAGACGAGTGCTCCGCTGAGCTCCCAGCGCATGTCGCCAAACAACAGCAACAGCAGTTATTTCAACTGCGGATGATTGCACGACGCCAGTAGGATTAGGGGGCCTATGTTTGCAGCGAAATGCAATTCTGGAAGCTCACGGGTGCAGACCA